TAGCTCTTTTCAATATTTTTATATGCTACCACCAGCGGAAACAACCTAAAGAACAGGTTTGATCATCTTTTTTCCCCAACTCAACACCAACTGCTCTCAGCTTCTTGGACTAATAGCTAATGCTGTTATTTTTCATATCAAATATCAGTATCTTGGAGGTAAAACATGCCCCAAAATACATATATACACAGTGTGTGTGTATATATACACACATATATATATAAAACACACACTCTCTCTATATATATATATTACTTTACACAGCCTGTGTATTCTCATTCTGTGCCACCGTTCATGCGAACTGTACATACCTCAGACTAAGATTCTAGCTCTGATCCCTGTATCTCCAAATAACTAAATTTTACACATTCTTTAAGCATCAGGTCAAATGTTACATTATCTGGATATCTCATGCCCTCAGCTGAAAGCAATTTCCCTGGCCTTGAACTCCTACTGACCATTAAAGAAGTTATAAGTACATCCCTTGAAATTATTACATACATACATACATAGGTACATATTTCTTTTCCTTTTACAATATATCTTCTCAAAGGGAAGACTCACATGAAGCATATTTATCATTTGCAGTATACTTATTTCCCCAAAGCAACTAACCAGGACCTTACGTATAGACATAAAGAATTATCTGAACTCAGGAGACAGAGGTTGCAGTGAGCCGAGATTGCACCACTGCACTCCAGTCTGACAACAGAGCAAGACTGTGTCTCAAAAAAAAAAAAAAAAAAAAAAAAAAGCTAGTAGGACAGACTCAAGAAGGAAGTGCCATATTGAAGTTACTCACAGCCTATAAAATTTGCTTTATCAGCATGTTAAAACTGAAGTTTTTAGGGGAAGGAAATTAGCAAAGATGCATACCTCAAGTGGTTAAGAGTAATAGACTTCATTCTGTAGTTTAGAATACACATATTCCCTCTGAACTGATCCAGAACATTTGAAAGATATGTTAAAGAATCAGAGAATTGGGGCTGGGCACAGTGGCTCACACCTGTAATCCTAGCACTTTGGGAGGCCAAGGCTGTCGGATCACGAGGTCAGGAGATCGAGACTATCCTAGCCAACAACCCCGTCTCTACTAAAAAAAAATACAAAAAACATTAGCTGGGCGTGGGCTCACGCCTATAGTCCCAACTATTTGGGAGGCTGAGGGAGGAGAACTGCTTGAACCCAGGAGGCGGAGACCACAATGAGCTGAGATCACACCACTGTACTACTACAGCCTCGGCAACAGTGTAGGACAAAAAGTAAAAGAGTCAAGGAGAAAATACTGTGAGAAAAACAATCAAGGACTAATCAAATAAATCATAAAAGACTGACATAATCTCAGAAAGAAATGTATTAGCCAGGCATGTTGGCACACGCCTGTAGTCCTAGCTACTCAGGGGGCTGAGGTAGGAGGATCCTTGCATTCAGGAGTTGAAGGTTGAAATGACCTATGATCATGCCACTGCATGACAGTCTGGTAAGAAAGCAAGATCCTGCTTCCGAAATATAAAGAGTTAGAAAAAAACCTAAAAATGTATAGCTGTAAAGGACTACATTCATAAAGATAAAAGAGTTCAATCAATAATCCAACCATCCATCTTAAGTAACTAGAAAAGAGTATGGCTGGGCACCGTGGCTCACACCTGTAATCCCAGCACTTTGGGAGTCCAAGGTGGGAAGATCACATGAAGTCAGGAATTCAAGACCAGTCTGGCCAACATGGTGAAACCCTGTCTCTAATAAAAATGCAAAACAGGAAAAAAAAAAAATGGCCAGTTTGAGGCACAAGAATCACTTGAACCCAGGAGGCAGAAGTTGTAGTGAGCTGAGATGGCACCACTGCACTGCAGCCTGAATGACAGAAAGGGAAACGGGAAAAGGGAAGGGAAGAAAAATACAAAACTGGAAAAGAGTCAACTAAGCCCCAAGCAACCGGAAGGAAGAAAACAATAAACAACAGAATAAACAAAATACAGAATAAGAAAATGACACAGAAAATGAACTAAGTCAGAAATCGGTTCTTTGAAACAGTTCAACAAAATTGACAAACTTTCTGCTAGACTGATGAAGAAAAAAATAAAAGACTCACATGACTAAAATCAGATAAAAAGGAGTTATTACTACCAACCTTTCCAAATAAAAAGGATAAGAGAATACTATCAGTAACAGTATGCCAACTAATTAGAGCAGATGAAATGGGCAAAATCTGACAAACATACTACTACGAAAACTGACACAAGGACAAATAGAAAGTCTGAATAAACCTAAAACAGAAAGACTGAGTCAGTAATCAAATGTCCTCAACCTGATGAAAGAAATCCATGGAAAACCCATAGCTAACATCATACGTAATAGTAAAAGACTGAAAGGCTCCTTCATAAAATAAGGAACAAGACTAGGATGTGTGCTCAGAGTTGTAGTGAAATTTGGAGATGGAGGAAATGTGAAGTGTTGTTTAATGGCTGCCAAGCACCCATCGTTCTGTGGCAACAGAGTTTCAGTTTTACAAGATGAAAAAGTTCTCCAAACTGGGTGTACAACAAGGTTACTGAACACCCCTACAATACGTAAGAATTATTTATTATGCTAACACTTGGCCAGGGATGGTGGCTCATGCCTATTATCCCAGCCTCCTTTGGGAGGCTGAGATGGGACAATTGTTTGAGCCTGAGAGTTCAAAACTGCAGCGAGCTATGATCACACCACTGTATCCCAGCTTGGGAGACAGAGCAAGACACTGTGTCAAAAAACAAACAGGCTGGGAGCGCTGGCTCACACCTGTAATCCCAGCACTTTGGGAGGCCGGGGCGGGTGGATCGCCTGAGATCAGGAATTCAAGACCAGCCTGATCAACATGGAGAAACTCCATCTCTACTAACAATAAATTAAAATAAATAAACGAGCCATGGTGGCACATGCCTGTAATTCCAGCTACTTGGGAGGCTGAGGCAGGAGAATCACTTGAACACAGGAGATGGAGGTTGCGGTGAACCGATATCACGCCATTACACTCCAGGATGGGCAACAAGACCGAAACTCCATTTCAAACACACACACGCACACGCACTCACACGGTGAGCAAAACTCCATCTCAAACACACACACAAACACACACACACACACACACACACACACACACACACACACACACACACAGAGTGAGCCAATATCATGCCATTACACTCCAACCTGGGCAACAAGAGCAAAACTCCAATTCACACACACACACTCTCTCTCTCTCTGTCTCTTTCTCTCTTTAAAGAAAAATAAAGAGAAAGAAAAGCTAACAGAGAAAACACAGTACCAATTTTTTCAATGAAGTCTAAGAGACTCTCCCTCAATTGCCCACAAGCTGAACATCATTCACTAGGTGTCAATCCTACACTTTTACTTTCAATGAAAAATATAAATCCGTTACATTGCTCCCCAGGATGTCTACTTTCTTTTAATCCTAAATATACTTTCTAAAGATGTTTAGGATCGAAGAATTAAAGAACAATTCTAAATTTACCTATGCAAGCTGAAGATGATGTTAAACATCTTCAGTTTTTATAATTCTCTACCAAAGAATAGTAACATGTTTATTTTATTTTTAAGGATGCTGCCAATCCCTTTTCCCTGTAGATACCCAGTGTTGAGGGTCTCCTTGTTATCTAGAGTATTCATTATCTAAGCTTCTACAGGCACAGGCTGCATAGGGAGGCAAGAATTATAAATCTACTAATTAATAAAATAGTAACTTATAAAATAAGCTTCCCACCCTGACAACCCAACTCTAAAAGCAACAGGAGCGTCTATGCCTACTCACTATGCCATTAGTCTCTTGTTGGCTGTTGATACTGTAAACATCTGACAATAAAATCCAAACAAAACTGCTAATTAAACTATATTAGCAAAATATGCAAGATTTCATGAAGTTAATTAAAATCTGCTTGGAATCACATAAACAGTCTTGAACAAAAGACATCAATTAATAACTGAAAAAGAAAATCAACAAAGTTGACACTAGCCTCGAAATAAGAATTTTTGAACATCAAAGGAATAAGGAAGGTCCTTGGGGGAAACTGAAGAAAGCCTCAAACATTTTTTGCAAAAATAATCTTCATTATAATTACATTGCAAAAGTAAAAAATGATAGTATTTGCTTTATATGCTGATTTCAGAACCCAATGCAGCAAAAAATACAACTTCACTGTAAAAAACCTGGTCCCAGCAGGGCGCGGTGGCTCACACCTGTAATCCCAGCATTTTGGGAGGCTGAGGTGGGTGGATCACAAAGTCAGGAGTTCAAGACCAGCTTGCCCAGCATGGTGAAACCCCGCCTCTATTAAAGACACAAAAAATTAGTCAGATGTGGTGGTGCGTGCCTGTAATCCCAGCTACTTGGGAAGCTTAGGAAGGAGAATTGCTTGAACCTGGGAGGCGGAGGTTGCAGTGAGCCGAGATTGCACCACTGCACTCCAGCCTGGGTGACAGAGCAAGACTCCATCTTCAAAAAAACGAAAACAAACAAACTAAAACAACCTGGTCCCAAAGGATGTAATTTAAAAGCCTATCTTCCATTTTATTCATTACAGGGAATACAGGAGTAAAATAATAAAAGTATTCTACATATTAACAAACTCAAACTCTAAAAAAATAAAATTCATATTCCAAGCAAATTCTTTACGTAGGTACCAATTACCTGCACAGTAAGAGAAAGCTCAAAAGAACTAGAAAAATTATTTGTAAAAGTAAAAAGACTTTCAGAAACTTAAAACACTATTATCATTTTGCCTTAAAAAGAAACAACAAAGCCAAACTTATGAACCATATTGACCTATCATCCTCTTATTGGCAAACTACAAAAATTTTTCACTAAGGTGCTCAACAATTGACTCAATGTAGCACTGGATTTCATCTAATCAACAGAACATGCTAGCTTTCAATTGAGATTCTCTACAAAAGGCAACCTTTGTGATAAATGAACCACTAGAGAAGATTCTAATAAAACTTACCATTGTGTATTGCATTCAGCAACTCTGAGAACGCTTTTAAGTAAGGAAAAAAGGACTTCAGGTTAAGATCATTCTCAAACACACAAAAGAAATACATAGGCATAGACTGAATTAGTATAATAAAATTTCAGTATGTCTATCATTTATCATTGTTTGAATCATTAAAACTGCAAGCTTGGCTCTGTTTTTACATCGTATAAACTTTTAAATATTGTATTCCACTTGCTAACATATTATCAACTAAACTGAGATAATATGTTAGATATATTGTCATGACAATAATTTCCTTAGTAATAAATATATATTTCAAATCACTTTTTAAAAGACAATTATGTCAATGTAATGTCTTGCTAAAAGTCAGTCACTATAGGATGCAATTCTATATAGGTAAATTTGCCTTAGTGTACACTTAACAATATTTATTATAAAGAAAAACCTCATTATATCATCTAACCCTATCAAATATTCTAATTTCCTCAGGTTCAGTATAAGAAAGCCTTAACACATATAGAGAACTAAACAAGAAAGCCACCTAGTGCAAATATACAAATATTGGAAAATTATATTAAGAATAGAAAACAAAATGCTTTAAAAAAAAAGAAAAATTATTTCAACAAGTCACAATTCTGCAATGGAAGCACCAAATTAAAAGACCAACAATAATTAAAATTTGTCCACAATTTGACTGTAATATGAATCCATAACAAGACAAAACAGAATGTTATCTTTGCAGGAGAAAAATATCTATTCAATTAAGAAAAACTTGCACTTGGAAAATTAAAATTTAAAGGTTCAGAGGTGGCATAACATACTAGAAAGAGCACTAAAATAGGAGTCAAAAAGCCTGGGTTATCAACCCAGTCTGACAACTTACTAGTTGTTGGACAAGCTCCATCATGCCGATACTGCATGGAAATTTCTGTTGAGAAGGAGGAAAAAGGAAATCAGTGAAGAAATTGCCAACGACTTAAAAATAATAATAATAATAATAAGCAGCCAGGAAAATGGAGGGAAATTCACCTAAAAGTGTAGTTAAGTAGGTCAACCAGAACTTCAAAACCAAAAATTATAAGCTAGTAATTGGGATGTGAGGGGTAGGAGGACCAAATGTGATAGAATTCTCACAAGTCTTAACAGGAATGTGTTTACAGAGTAAGGAAAAGATATAAAGACTTACAATTGAATCTATGTAACAAGTGTCTAAGAATAAAAGGCTTCATTAATGAGAGAAAGTATGATTAGCAACATGATAGAGTAATATGCTTTAGATCTTTTTTTTTTTTTTTTTTTTTTTAAGATAAGTCTCACTCTGTCACTCAGGATGGAGTGCACTGGCACGATCTTGCTCACTGCAACCTCTGCCTCCTGGGTTCAAGTGATCCTCCCATCTCAGCCTCCCAAATAGCTGGGACTACAGGTGCATGCTACCATGCCCAACTAATTTTTGTATTTTCATTAGAGACAGTGTTTCACCATGTTGGCCAGGCTTGTCTGGAACTTCTGACTTCTAGTGATCTGCTTGCCTCGACCTCCCAAAGTGCTGGGATTACAAACGTGAGCCACCGTGCCAGGCCTAGGTCATTCATTAGATGGAAAGAGTTTACCAAAAACATTTGAATACTGTTTTCACATGGAAATCACAATTTAAGTATAATAATTATTTAGTTGATATGGGAGCATAAATACATTATGACTTATACAGCATCATAAAACACAATAAGTTACACTTGGCTCACTTTCTTGAATCATTCATTTTAAGAAAGAGTTGGGTGCAGTGGCTCACGCCTGTAATCCCAGCACTTTGGGAGGCCAAGGTGGGCAGATCACTTGAGGTCAGAAGTTTGAGACCAGCCTGGCCAATGTGGTGAAACCCCGTCTCTACTAAAAATAAAAAAATTAGCCAGGCATGGTGGTACATGCCTATAATCCCAGCTACTTGGAGGCTAAGGAAGGGGAATCGCTTGAACCTGGGAGACAGAGGTTACAGTGAGCTGAGATCAGGCCACTATACTCCAGTCTGGGCAACAGAGCAAGACTTGGTTTCAAAAAAATAAAGAAAAGAGAAAGATAACAAACGAACTAAACCATTATTACTCTATTTCACTCCACCCAAACGAGAACAGAGGGTGCAGAGAACAAAGTAATAAAACAATGGTAAAAGTAAAATCTGCGTAGAATATGAGAAATGAATTTCTATATGGCTTTCTAAAGGAAAAATAATTGATAAAACTAGGACCAAGGCTGTGACTCAAAGGACCTGGTTTTGCTAATCCTGGAAACAACTGGTATTCCCTGTGGCTAACACTGTTGGCAAAAAATTTTTGAAGGAGGGATACCTGGGAATTCCGTGGATATTAGTTAACCAAAAACACAGCCCCTAGGAACAGTATGTGTATAACAGAGTGCCCAGGAAATCATCACTAACACATCTGCCCACTATCTAGTCTTAATTTGAGTTACAAGACAAAGTGTAGTCTTAATTTGAGTTACAAGACAAAGCAAGGCAGAGCAAGCCAGTACTCACTTGTAATCACTGTAATTTTTAAAAAATATTTTACATTAGACACTGTTTTTGAAAATCATACATTTACTCCTCTTCAGAATAATCATCTAGAAACAGTGTAGGCTGTGGTATAAGTCCTTTCCAGATCACACCTGAAAGTGAGACACAGTAGAAAGTTCTATGCCTTAATGCCACATTACAAATTTAATACAAGTGACATTTTTCAAGGGAGGTGGCAGCTACTGAATAGGCTGACATACCACATTACAAAGAAACGGGAGCTGTTTGGAATGGTGCTAAAATAATAAAGGACACTTAGATAAGCAGAATTTTCTCAAGGGGGAAAAATTGGAATATGTCCATTCTCATCTAGTGCTTTTCTAGAAAGATGGCCATGATATAGGGCCAGTAAATACTCAAATTAATAGACTAATACAAAGGCTGGGTGCTGTAGCTCATGCCTATAATCCTAGCACTTTGGCCAGGGCAGGAGGATCACTTGAAGATCCGAGTCTGAAACCAGCCTGAGCAACATAAAGAAACATCCTCTTTCCAAAAAAACTTTTTTTAAAGCACATCTGTAGTCCTAGCTACTTAAGAGACTAAAGTGGGAGGACTTCCTGAGCCCTGGAGTTCAAGGTTGCAGTGAACTGTGATCATGCCACTGTACTCCAGCCTGGGTGACAGAGCAAGATCCTGTCTTTAAAAAAACAGAAGGCCAAAACAAAATCAGGGAATTTTCTGAGAAGCAAATTCCAAGGTATATCCTGGTCACAGCAGTATGTAAAGTTCTATGCAAATTTCATTTATGACACAATTTAATCAATGTATATAATCAAGATTCTCAGTCATTAAGATTGATTTAAATCATGCTCACTAACTGCACCTCCTCCTTAGTCTACATTACCTTAAACAGTAACTACAGTTGAGAGTTTATTGGACTAATATCTGTACTTTTATGATTCCTTTGTTTATAGAATAATTGTCTATTCCTAATTAAAATATTTTACCAGAGAAAGAATTCTCAGTTTTATTTTACCAACCTAAACAGATATTATATAAATAGGATATGTTTCATAAGATCTGTGATAGTTATAAGGGCTCAAGTTAAAATTTCATAATCTTCATATTTCAATAGAAGCCAGAAAAATCCTTCTCTTGATCTTTTTAAATTAACAACCTATCTCTATAAAATCAATCACAACCAAAGGAGTGCCTTGCCAAAATCTTTGTAGCTTTTATCACCACTAATGAATTTCAGCAGTGAAATGGATTTTAAGTGTCTTCTTAGAAAGTTGTAGGAGAGGCCAGGAGCAGTGGCTCACGCCAGTAATCCCAGCACTTTAGGAAGCTGAGGTTGCGGGTGGATCACCTGAGGTCAGGAGTTTGAGCAAGACCACCCTGGCCAATGTGGTGAGTCTGGCTCTGTCACCCAGGCTAGAATACAGTGGTGCAATCTCAGCTCGCTGCAACCTCTGCCTCAGCCTCCCAAGGAGCTGGGATTACAGGTGCCCAGCACCACACCCAGCTAATTTTTTTATTTTTAGTAGAGACAGAGTTTCACCACATTGGCCAGGCTGCTCTTGCTGGAACTCCTGACCTCAGGTGATCCACCCACCTTGGCCTCCCAAAGTGCTGGGATTACAGGTGTGAGACATTGTGCCCGACTAAAACAAAGAATAAAAATAAATTACTAAAAAATTTACTTTCTGGCTGGGCGCGGTGGCTCACACCTGTAATCCCAGCACTTTGGGAGGCTGAGGCGGGTGGATCACCTGAGGTCAGGAGTCCGAGACCAGTCTGACCAATATGGTGAAACCCCGTGAAAAAAAAAAAAAATTTTTTTTTTACTTTTTGAGGACCATTACTTTTTGATCTAGGGCTCCCAGAAAAAAACTCAAAGGAAATGCTCATTGGAGCAATTTGGGTTTCAGATTTTCAGATTAGGAATGCTCAACTGGTAAGTATGTATAATGTAAGCACTTCAAAATCCCAAAATAATCTAAAATTCCAAACACTTAGGGTCTCAAGCATTTTGAAGAAGGGTTACTCAACCTGTACTTTGAAAGGACACAGAACGCCCCAAGAAAGGAATTTAATGCTGAACAATCAACCCCTTCCAATTTGACTTCTTTATGCCTTTAGTGTTCCATTAGTGGAACATGAAGCTTGTGGGAGTTATTTATGTCCTACTGCTCAAGGTCATCACCAAGGTCTGGTTTTTCACTCACACACACACACACACACACACACACACACACACACTGCAACCTCCAGCATAAATGGGTTAACGAATATCAGATTTTTCTCAAGAGAAAATAACAAGATGGTTTTGGTGAAGGAAAAAATGTTCTCAACTTTCAATTTAGTAAACTATAAATTTTTGTAATGTGAAAAAGATAAATAGCAAAGAGGAAAAGGACAGGTTGTCAACTCTTCCAAACACTGTTTTTAATGTTTCAAAAGATCCTGTGCCTAACTGTCAGAATCCAAAAGAATGTACATAGGAAAGAGTTCAGTCAAAAGAGTAACAACATCTTATAAGCTCCAAACTTACAACCTTTAGAAATGACTTTTTAAAACACACTATTTTTCCATTTTGTATAAGTCACTATAAAACAGGCCATTTATCAGAATACACTTCAATCCATAACAAAAATTTTACAATCTAAACTCTGAATCAAACATTTTATAGGTGTCTTCTGGACTTCTACTCTAATTTGATCTAGGGTTCCCAGAAAAAAACATATTCTGCTACGATTTGAATATGTCATGAGAGAATTTTGGTTACTATTAAAACTGATGCTTTCAGGTAGTAATTTCAAGAGGGAATCACAATATTAGAACCTGATTCTACTCCTGCTTTACATCCTAGTTGTAAGGGAGAAATAACATCAACAGGAGCCGTCCTATTTCACAAGGCTGTTCCAAGGAACAAATCAGAGAATAACTAAAGAATTCTTAAGAAACTGTTAAGTGTGCTCAAATATAAGGGATTATAGGCCGGGTGCGGTGGCTCATGCCTGTAATCCAAGCACTTTGGAGGTCAAGGCAGGCGGATCACCTGAGGTTGGGACTTCAAGACCAGCCTGACCAACACGGTGAAACCCGTCTTTCAAAAAAAAAAAAAAAAAAAAAAAAAAAAGGGGGGGGAGGGGGAGAGGGGAAGAGAGGGAGAGAGGAAGAGACAGAGAGAGGGAGAGAGGGAGAGAGGGAGAGAGGGAGAGGGAGAGGGAGAGAGATTATATTAGCATTGCTATAAGCTGAATGAATTTGTTTTCTTTCCATTAATGAAATTCTTTAATAATGGTAACTGGCCAAAATTAAGTCCGGAACAGTTATTTTAAGAAAAAGATCATTAGCTTATCAGTCTGATTTCTTCAGCCTGGCATTCATCTCTCCATTAACCCATCCTA